GCTGCTAGGTTAGTTGTCTTTTGTTGCTAGGTTAGTTATCTGTAGCTGCTAGGTTTTTTTTTTTTAAACAAGCAACGCCCCGGAAGGGCGGGGGATTGGCTGGATCCCCAACCTGTGCATAGATCATGACCCCAAAACGGAGGCCCAAAATATCAATAGTCTACAAGGTCTCACAAGCAAAATAAATAAAAAGAAATACAAATTAAGTCTGTCTACGGGCAACTCTGTAGTTGTTAGGTTAATTCTCTGTAGTTGCTAGGTTAGTTCTCTGTAGTTGCTAAGTTAGTTCTCTGTAGTTTCTAGGTTAGTTCTCTGTAGTTGCTAGGTTAGTTATCTGTAGTTGTTAGGTTAGTTGTCTGTAGTTGCTAGGTTAGTAGTTGCTAGGTTAGTTCTATGTAGTTGCTAGGTTAGTTATCTGTAGTTGCTAGGTTAGTTGTCTGTTGTTGTTAAGAGCTGGTTCCATTTTAAGAGCTGGTCTCATTTGATCCGCCCCATATATATATATATATATATATATATATATATATATATATATGTATTTCGGATCAAACAGTATGTAGGTTGAAATACGTTGAACACACTTCGAAGGCTCGGAGGCTTGATTCGAAATTGAATAGTGATAGTCAACTTGAACGCACATTGGATCTCCAAGAACCCATTGGATCTTCAATAACATACTCAAATAATTAAGAACGCTTCTGCATCTTCAATCGAGTTCTTTAGTGAGCTCTTGCTGAACTTTTAGATTTGAGAGGTGCTTATATATATATGTATTTCTTTTAAGGAGGGCCCTATTTATAAGTCTATGAGGGAAAATCTTAGACAAGAACACATCATTTAATTTGTCTAATCTCTTCTCTCATCAAAATTTTTTTTTCTTATTCTATGATTTGACTTGGTACGTTAGAAATATTTATTTTATTAATTAAAAAAATCTTATTTATCTTCAATTTAAGTCAAAAAATAAATAAAGACAATAATCAATAAAATATTAAAATATAGGTGTCCACAACTAGATTCGGTTATCGGGTGCCCGAAGGGTAAACATGTTTTTGAATTTTTTAAAGTTGAATTTTATTCGGGCCAACCCAATCATGTGTAGAAAAATCAAAATATTTCCGCAATAACTATGATATAACTAACAAATTTTTAACTAATTTTGAAATAAAATAATTATAAAATTTCTTTTAAATATTTTTGAAATAAATAATAAAATTTAATAACTTATTTTCTTATATATAGTCAAGTTAATAATACAATATTTTATAAAACATAAATAGAGGGCAATGTGTTGTACACAACTTAATAATAAATATCTATAATGATGAAAATTTAAACATGAGACTTTAGTATAAGAATGTGATAATACAAATATACAAGTGCAAAAAGAAGTATATATTGTTTAATTTAACAACACTATATGGCGCATGTCGTATTCAATCAACACATTTTTGTTCATTTAAAGTTAGTGAAATGCAATAATATTGATAATTATAAATGAAATTTTTGGCAAACTGTCTATGTCTTTCCAAAGTCCCTCAAATTTTCTTGGCGTCAGATATGGACATTTCATATACAGATATATTACATGGTGGGAACACAAAACACAAAATGGGAACACATAAATCTTCATTTCACATACACCGTTAGAAGTTCATAAAACTATACAAATCAATTAATTATTGTTATTTGGTTAAAAAATATCTGAACCATCTTATTAGGAATCTCAAACTATCATTTAAAAATACAAATATAAACTATGTGTCTTTAATTAGGAATCTTGTATTTGGTTAAAAAATATACATATGCCCGGACATTATGCACGAGTAATTAATAGGAATTGATTTATGATAATTTAGAAATCTATTAGCTTGGGTTTATGCACACAACTTGTTCGAGGAAATACAACAAAATATATGTTCGATACTATAATTTGAATTTGTGAATTGCATATTTGGACATGATTTCAATTTATATACTTCTTTTTGTATTTTAATATGCCTTTTTCTTCTTAGTATTTGTTTGTTTTTTTTTATTAAATAGAGTTTATATTGAATCATTTTATTCAAAATAATATTAGTTATTCATGTCAATTATATTAGCTACACATAGAATATATCAATTATTTTATATTTTGATATTATATGATTAGTTTCATCTTGAATTCCACTAGAATATTTAGTATGTGATTGAATTTAAGAATTTCCATAAGTTGATTCTTACATTCACTGAATTTTTGATAATATATTTTCATTCATTTAACTTTGTAATTCATGTAATTTATATAAAATTTTAAAAAAAATTATTTCATACTTTAATTTCTTTATGCTTGGCGATCTAGCTAGAGATGTTATTCAAGCCGAGACAAACTGGGTATCTCATGTTCGAACTCGTGATTATTTGATAATCAAAATATTTTAGGTTCAAACTCAGTTTATTGAATTGTATGAACCACTTGAGTTGGAGTTTTCACGGACCGAATGAAGTTGTGTTTGCGAATCGTTTGACTCGAATAATAATTCAATGTCAACCAGCTCCAAGTAAAAAAAGAAAAAAGAAAAAAAAAATCTTGGCTACCTACGTTCCTGTTCCTGTTACTTAGTAATAGTAATTTCAACCGATAGTGAAATTTGCCATTAAATTTGAAGAGAAGGGGTATTAAGAACGTTGTGATTTTTTAGTATAAAAGGTTACTAGTATAACACCCATGTATTACATGGGGACGGTGTCTCATTCCGTCATAAAAGTGGGATGGGTATGCGGACAAATCAAATCCAAGATCGTTCCGGACCACGCCCACTCCTACCATAAATAATCAACATATTTATAGATAATCCAAACTTATCCAAGCCTAATAACGAAGCATGTAATTTTGCCACATAGGATCCCGAAGCATGCGAGCCTGCCACATAGGCTCAACACGTTCTCAATTAATATATAAGGGGGGATTTGATTTAGCAGTTTTGTTTGGATTTTTTAGTATAATCTAATTCATTAGCTTAAATTTTCACCATTTACATTATAATCACCACTTAATTAATAATTATATATATTCGTCACGAGTACATGCACTAATCTTGAACCATGTATATTGAGTATTGACATATGTCAAAACAAAATCAGATAGTATCTCAATTAGTTGAAAAACTAACCTCAACCTATCAAAAAAGATAATTAAAAAACAAAAAAAACAAATAAATGAACTTATGATTAATCCGATCCATTGAACAATCTCACCTCACCAACCACATATGCTTGCTGATTCAAATGAAAAATGGAATGTAAGTCAAAAGCTATTCAAATTATATCCTAAGAGCATGTTTGTTAGCCAAGATAGGATGAGATTGCACCCTTAATCTGGCCAAAAAAGTTTGTTTGTTTCATTAGATTGTGGCCCGAGATAAAGGTGACGGCCCGCGATCAAAATGGCATTTATCGGCTGTTTCCAAGATTATTCCATCCGGGCTTCCTCCCCAAGATTGCTGAAATCTGCACAGTAATTTCTTTCTCAAAAGACCTTTGTATCCCTGTTTTTTTAACATTTCGGACACCCACACCCTTGAATGGTTGAATAATTACTCAATTGCCGTTCCACTTTCTTTCTTGGCTAATCGTTCAATTGCTAGAGGATTGCTGAAACCTCTGATGAGAATTTCGTTCTTGAGCTCAGGGACGCCGGCGAGGATCTTGAGCTTCAGAAGCTCTTCGTGGAGCTCGAGCTTGGAGTGGGTGAATTTGTCCGGGTTTTCAGAGTACCTGGGATTTGTCGAGTGCTTCGAGGAGGGAGAGGTCGAAGGGTGCGGAGAATGGCAGAAGTGGCGCCGGCGGATGCGAGGCGCTTTCGTTTCTGAGGAGGAAGAAGGTCCACTGGGACTAGGTCGCCGTTTCGTTAGCCATTGCGTTTCTGATCAAATATTGAGGATGAAAGTGGGCAATGGGCCTTCGTAGCGTGATATATGAAAGTTGGCCCAATATAAGTCATTTCTACTTTTTAACTTTTTATTTCCAAACAAAAATAAACTGTATGGAGAAAGAAAATTACTCCATTTATGTATAAGATTTTTATTTTGATTGCAGATGTTTTTTTAGTATTTACGAGTAATTGATTTTCAGTTTATCTTTATTATTAATTTCTAACTTGCATAAACTATATGGAGAAAATTACTCCATTGATATTTTAATAATTTTTTAGATATTTTAATTTAAAAGTCGTTTATAAATAATTTATTTGCGACTTGAAAGGGAAAAAAATCAGGTGACACACCATCTCTAACACGTTGAATACAAAATTCATGCAGCTTATCCCACAGTTTCTTTGTTTGTATTTGGGTTCCCAGTTTTTTTGTTTTTATTTGGGCGTATTGCATGGCTATTAATTTTTAATTTGTTATAACTTATGTTTGTATCTTCTGTATCTTCCTATGATTTTGAACAGGTGAAAACATCTTCATGAGACGCATTTCAAATGCTTCATAAAAAAATCATATTATTAGAAAATGAATAAAAATCCAACAAAGAGAAAAAAAAAGCGCATGTAACTAAATTTAACTAATGTAGTCAAGGAAATAAACTAAAATCACTAAAAAAAAATTATAAATAAAACAAAAATTAAGATTTAAAAAAAAATCGGTTAAAAAAAACACCATTATCGATATTAAGTAGGAGATGAAGTGGTAAAAAAAAGGATAAAAGATCATGTACACAAAAATTAAATTACATAGTTTATTTAAAGGGCAAATAAGTAAATGAAGCATTAATCCTATCAATTATCCAATGCAACAAATAGCAACCTATTATATCTTACCATACTTATCTTATGTCAATCTTGTACAACAAACTAAGACATGTAACTTATCTCTACAAGACAATCTTATTAGATAAGATAAAATTAATCTAGTCTCGTCTCCCTAACAAACGAGCTCTAAAGGTATACATTTAATGTTAGAATTGTGGAAAAACTTGATTATTATTTGAAAATTAATTTTTGAATTAAAATATAATTTTTGTTTAATAGAGAGGAAATGAGGTGCTTTTGTAAGTACCAACCTCTACCAATAGAGGCTATATAATGGCCAATTCCCAAGCTCAACTATACAACACACAAAACAACAAATATATCAATCATCACAAAACAAATCCGAGAGCATGAGGAAAGTAGGGTTGTTGAGTTATGCGATGGCATGTTTATGCTTGATAGCCGTTGCTACTGCGATTTCGCTCGACAGTTATGGTGTTTTTCCTCCCAAAACACCGACACTTATAACTCCATCTACTCCACTTGTTAAGACCCCACCAACGCAGCCCAAAACATTGACATCGACACCTACAACTTCATCTGCATCTCCATCCCATGACCATCTTCCTCCCATATCCCCAGTCAGAAAGCTCAGACCTTGATGTTCTCACTCAGGCATTACTCAATAGAAGCGCAAGGCTAACACTGATACCTACAACTCCATCTACTCCAAATACTCCGCCAGTTAAGACCTCACCACCGCCTTCATATCAATAATTAATGCGTGAGCATAAATTTCCATGTATCCCAAATCTCTCTAATTACTTAATTAGGATATGGAGGTAGAATACCACGAAATGTTTCTCTTTCGATCAGTCGAGTTACCCTGCCATCTACTTGTTATATCTCTTGTTGTCTTGTAACATTTTCTTATTCCAATAAATGGGGTCTCAAGGCGAGACACCTATGTATATTCTTAAATATGTTATCTATTTTTGTATTGCTTTCGTTTCATATCTTTGACCAGTCACAATGTTTGGATTTCAATTCGAAATGAATCTACAGAGTAGCGATAATAGATAGTCAACTAAATAAATTAAAATTGATGAATGTTGAATTCAACACTAGATTTATAGAATAAAAGGAAGAGGGCGCGGTCCCACCAGATGAAGCTCACCATAAGAGGGTGAGCCTAGTTACACCTTAGTGAGGTTCCATCCCAAAACCAATTGGTGATGGGAGAAGTAATCCACTAAGCTTATAAACTAGACTCATTTACCCTATATAATCAATGTGGACAACTCACAATTTATATTCCAACACGCCCCCTCACTTATGAAGACCTAGGTAGAGAGAGTCTTGCAGGTCCTAGGATAGGCCCGCTCTGATACCATATTAGATTTATAGAATAGGGGAAGATAGTGCGGTTCCACCAGATGAAGTGCACCATAAGAGCGTAAGCCTAGTTGCACCTTAGTGAGGTTCCATCCCAAAATCAATTGGTGATGGAGGAGTAGCTCACTAAACTTATAAACTAGGCTCATTTACCCTATAGAATCAATGTGGGACAACTCACAAGAGATATTCCAACATTCAATTTAGCGGACAACTTGTATGAGGAAGCGAATGTAATTNCAAAAAAAAAAAAAAAAACTCATTGGTACTAAAATTTATTAAGTTTAAAGGTTAGATAACAAAATCGAAAGACATATCAACTTGAGGTGCCGGAACTAGATTTTTCCAATCAATCAGATAAATTCCCAAATCTATTAATATGGAAAATGATTTACTTGATACAGTAATAAAAAATATATTATAAAAAATGGAAACTTACTATTTAAAGTAAGTTGTTGCACGTTTTATTTAATCTTTTGTTTTCCAAATTCTTAAACTATTGTTTTCAAACCCCGTGTAATCTACTAACACAAACAATAGCTGGAATATTCTCCTGCACGGATGTATAGTATTAATAAATACCATTAAATTTATATTATAATTTAAAAAATATATCAATTTTTTATTTTTTAGTGTTTTTAGGTGAAAAAATATGTTTTTCTACAAAGTGTGTACAAATAAATTTCAAAAAACTATAATTTTATCTACAACTTAGAGAACAAATAGATTTTTTTCTTCAAACTTAGTTAATATTTTAGTAAATACTAGCTATATGTTTTAGTGAATAAAATAATTTTTATATAAATATTATATATAAATATTTTTAATATTAATTGTATGAGGATAATTTAAATGATTTTTGTGTAAAATAATATATCTAATTTAAATTATATTTTGATATTAAAATTTTTTTAATAAAGAGGATAAAAAAGATATTTTATATAGAGTATAATGTAGAGCGGACAATTGGGGATGAAACTTGAATTTTGTTTAACTCTACTCTACTCTACAGTAGAGTAGAGAAAAAGGCTAGAGATGACCTTAAAACTCCATTATTAAAACTCCATTTATTCTGCTAATCATCATGTAATTCGATCCATACAAATTCACACAATACACGTTATTCAGTTTGCCAATAATATATATTAGTACGACATCTGTGTACTACACGGGTTGTTTGAAAAAAAAAATATAAAACATAAAATAATAAAAAAAACACATGTTGTTGTATAACTATTTCAACTCTTTAAAATATATTAGAAAGATCGTGCAATATTCTATAACTATTTCACGTATTTTTATAGATAATCTAAAAAGATTTAAATAATTTATTTAACATGGTGTTCATCAAAATTTATTTTATTTATATTTCAACTCTTTAAAATATATTAGAAAGATCATGTAGTATTTTATAACTATATGTATTTTTATAGATATTTGAAAACCTCATTCTGTCAATAATTTTACTGATAGATAAAGCATACAACATACAACAGTAACTACATCTTCGCTTTTTTCCCTCAATAAAATCACCACACAATTAAGTACCCTAACACCATAGAATCATGAGTATACCGGAATTTTTTTGGGGGCTGGCCTACTTTGATCCCTGGCCGATTTTCTCCACTCAATCGTTTCTGGCCTTCTTCGATCCCTGCCCGATTTTCTTAGAGGGAATGGAGTCGAATTTTATCTCGTGCAGTCTATTATTCAACAAATAAACAAAAAAAAATATCGGGTAAAGTGAGAAAATAATATGAGAAGCACACCACTTTATTCATCATGATATTTTTGGCATAGTACTTCATTTACACGCAGAAAGATGTTGCAAGAATTGTCTAAATTAAATACATGAACATGCTTCTAAATGCTCTGGAGATGTCTATGAATAATTTTTAGTGGATTATCAAAGCATTACTGTGGTGTAGTTAAAATATATTTTCGATTTATCTTGTCTTAGCCAGGTGAGATGAGTTTGTAGGGATCAAAATAACTGTGCAACCTTCAGTAGACCAAATAAAAAGAAACCATGCTCATTTCGTCCGATTTTCAGTCGACGTCACAACAAATATAATGAAACAGGATATAAAAAAATCACATTTTTTATCAAACAGACATGAAAAAACAAAAACCCGTCACAAAACTATCCAAATTTCAAATACTTTGGTGGAACAATCTACTTCGCAAGAAGACACAGACGCGCATAGATAAAAGTCGATTTCAACAATGACGCAATCGGAAAATTTGTGTACATACCCTAAATTTGCAAGGAAAACAAATAATCAACCAAAGAGGGGAATCACATGGAGTAGATGAAAGTAAGAGGCCAAAGACTGGTGCTGGTGTGGCGTCGGCGGTTTCTGTTGAAAACGCGACTGGGATTGAGATCGATTGCTGTTGAAATTGATGTTGTCAATTGAAAACGCGGCTGGAAATTTTTTGGGACTGGCCGGATCGTTTGAATTTTTTTCTTTTTTTTTTTTTCGCAGAGAGAATGGATTTGATTGTTTTTTTATAGATATTTTAGGTATATCGCAATTTTACTTTATTTTGGAGTTGGATGATTACACGGCATATATGAACCATTGGAGTTGGAGGGGATTGGATTAAGAAAAATCCTATTTATTAGGTATTTTATTTTAAACAATTAAATAATGTATCCGAACCAAAAGCCGAAACATATAGTGTTACCAAATAAGCTTCCGAAGCGTGCGAGACAGCCATTTAGGCTCAGCTTGTTTTCAAAT